AAAACCAAGCTCTAAGTTATTATTACATTGTAACTGCCCATTATCTACATCTTTTTGAGGTCTGATCATTTTTTGATCTTGCTTCCTTGATGTGATTAAAGGTGTTCCCCAGGGTTCAGTCCCGGGGCCATTATTATTCACCGGATATGTTAATGTTGATCAAGGAGTATCGAACACTAATTTCCATTTTTATGCCGATGACACTGTGATGTATTCCACACCTCAGCTCCAACAATCATTTAATACTTGTGCAGTTCAAAATTACTTTTCAATGCAAAAAACTAAATACATGTTGTTTCCAACACTAAATTAAATTCTTTGACTTTTCCATCTATCACAGCTCTTCACGGTTGGAAGATTGATTTGGTATCTAACTCTTAACTGGTGATTCTCTCTCCTCCCTCCAAGTCTCATATCAAACAGTTGGTGTCATGAACGTGACGAACATGGAAACAGGAGCCCTTCACAATAAAACAGGAAACAGAGGAACATGATGCAGGACAGGAGGAGCGGCAGACGAGAGGAAGCAAGGGAACACGAGGGAGAGAGAGAGCAGACATGACGGGCTGGGAAACAGATAAACATGGCGAGGTAAAACACAAGGAGGGGAAACAAGGCACAAGAACTCACATAAGCACAAACAGATGCTCAGAGGGCAAAGACACAAGGAGGAAAAGCTCAACAGAACAACCGAGGTACTACAGAATAACCTTAGACTAACAAAGTGGACAAAATGACAAAAACACCAGAGAACTGAGAACGCTGGGACCCTGGACCATGACAAGTTGGAAAAAAAAGTGAAACCGAAATCCAGATTTGTCTTTTGAGTGAAGTCTTATCAGTGGGAACATTAAACCATTAGGATATTCTCATTTATAAAGGATCTGCAGCAGATCTTAGATATAAATCCTTTACAAGGATCTTGTTTCTCTGAGTCTGTTTAAACCAATGCTTAATATTTTAAACACTCAAAGATCTGCATGCAAATGTGTTGTTTGTTGAATTATTTGGTGACACTGTTGAACTTTTTATTTAGATTTTTGTGATCAATGATGTTTCATAATTTGTAAATTTAGTTTTTTTCCGGTCACCTTGTAAATACGATTTTAAATCTCAGTGGGTCTTTCCTGGTTAAATAAATAATAATTAATTATGACGTGCTTAAATTTCAGATTTGTTATGAACTCTTTAACGTCCAGCGTCTTTGTTTTCACTGAGACTGAAAGCTTGGAGTCATTTTTAATGCTGCTCTTTACAGGCGAGTTCATTGAGACAGAAAAAGACACGAGTGTTTTAGAGCTTCACCATCTTTCCTTTATGATTTTGCAGCTTTATTATCAGTTTCTGTTTGAGCAGCAGCTGAGTCGTCTTTTATTTTCAGCTAAACTCTGAATATTATTATTATTATTAATCTCTGGTGCTGGTGAGTTTTTAGTTCCTTCTTTAATGAAATATTTCCAGTTCTGAGCTGTCAGGGTTCATCTCTAAAGTTTAGCTGATATTTATCAAACACTCATCTGTGTGAGTCACAGGAAGTGTAAGGCAGGAGAAAACAGTCTTAGAAACTCCACACCTCTGTGGATCCGGCCAACCCACAGCTCAACAGAAACACCGAGCTTTCGACACTTCCTCATTCTTCATCGTGTTTGTCCCCACAGAAGGAAACAAGTTTCACCCTCAGGTCGTCAGCAATGACGCATCAAAGACATTGGCCGGCGAGAATATCAGTAAATGTGACGACCTCTGACCCAGAAACGCGCGAGCTAAAACCACAGAGGTCTGTTCGTTACCTGGTTCCATGGTAACCAAGCAAACTATTAACAAACTGGACTGTTTATGAGTGCAGATTCACGGGTCAAGGAAGTGCTCGTGGTCTTAAACGCTGATAAAGCTCACGTATAAACAAAGCTTTTTAATATATATCTAACTTTATAAGAACATCATGAGGTCAGAATCATGGAAAGCAGCTCTGGTGGAGTCTCAGAGAATAATAAAGAGCAGTAAAGCAGTGAAAAGCAGAACAGGCTGTAAAGTTTTCAGTAACTTGGACGCCTGGAAAGGATTCCCTGTAAAATCTAAATATTTGTATAACCAGGTAAATGCTGGTGCTAAAGTATGTCATGTTACTGGTAGCACTCTGGGCTCAGTAGTTTTCCTCGGCCCCTCAGTTTGTGAAATGTGTTGTGAAATGTTTTTGACTCTGACTTCGTTCACACTCTGTACCAGCCTCTGTGGGGCAACGGGCTGACGAGGAAGATCCTCCCGCGGGAGACATAAATACCCGACAAAGATCATTCCTCCTCGGACACTTTATGAATGAACGTCTCACGTCGGGACTGGTGAGTACTGGATTCATCTAATCTCCTCTGATTCTCTGGATCAGATGTGGAAACATCCACAGGCCTGTTTAATCCGCGTGTGCTGACATATATTCTCAGTGTAAACTCCTTAAAAGTGCCACATGTAAACTAAAAATAAATAACCTTCCATGCATGTTTTTAAAAATGTTTATTTTTCCTGGAACAGCTGTGATGCTATGATAGAGCTATCTGTGTTTATTGTAATTTAATAACTGAATCCTGTAGCTGGGAACTTCAGGCCATTAAAACTTCATGTTGATTGAATATTATATGGCACAATAACACACACACACTTCTTTGTTAAATCATAATCAGAATACTTTATTAATCCTTAAGGAAACTGTGTGGGTTACAAGACAGTAACAGAAACAGACTCAGCTATTTAAATAATATGTTACATTGTTTACAAATTTAAGAAATTGCACTAAAATAAACAAATCAGTCAATTATAAATATCAAGAATATTGACAAGAATATCACAGACGTGAGAATGTATTTGATTGACATTTGACTCTAACTTGTGAACTTTGTCATTTGTTGTTTCACTGTAAAAGAAAGTATTTTGACTTAATTAAACATATTTTAGGTCTTTCTTCTGTTTGTTTAATATTGTTTAATTATATTTTGGATCCCAGCATGTCCAGGACTTGTGAAAGAGTGGAAGTGATTCATGTCATCTTTGATAAAAATCTAAATTCTGCTGTTTTAAAACAGGAAAAAAAGGAAGAACGTGAAAAGAGGAAGCTTCAAATTTCAAGAGTTTGGAAACTTTCCAAGGTGTAGTCACACAGACTTTCCCCCCTCGCTCAGATTTAACCACCAAACCCACAGATATTTTTAACAGTCAAACTTAAGAATAATCCTCAATAAACTTCAAGAATTTTCTGCCCGAGTCACCAAAATGACCTCCGAGCCAAACTTCACCACCGCCTCAAACCACACCACCCCCACTGCCGATGGTGGCTGCCCACCTGTCGGTATTGGGCTGGAAGGTAAGATCATGCCACCCGTCCTCATCATCGACGTCATTCTGGGGCTGCTGGGAAACCTGGTCGCTCTGTGGATCTTCTGCTTCAAACTGAAGGCGTGGAACCCCAACAGCCTCTTCCTCTTCAACCTGGTTATCGCAGACTTCCTCGCTCTAGTGAGTCTACCTCTGCGGATCGACGCTTTGCTCAGGAGTCACTGGGTGTTTGGAGACGGCATGTGTCGGATCAACCTCTTCCTGATGTTTTCCAACCGCTCGGCGAGCATCGCACTCATGACCGTGGTGGCAATTTATCGCTACTTTAAGGTGAGAGAGTCCTCGTGGTGATGGAGTTGTAAAAATGCTTAACAAAGTTTTTTGTTGCACCTCGTTGGGCCACATTCCTGGTGAAGAGAACAAACCTCTGACTGCATTTCTAATATTTTTGAATGTTTTTATTGATGGGGCTCCAAACAGGGAAAAGTTGGTAGTAATGGCTTGATGTAAATAGCTTGATGACATAACTGGGTAAAACTAAAGGTAAGCCAACATGGGTAAACAGCTGGTATGGTTAGGTAGCGGTATAAAGAGTAGCCCATTCAGCTAAATTAATGGATAAATAGCTGTAATCATATTCTACAAGTCATTTATAAATTAAGCTGAAGGAAGGAAGACTGAAACTGTTTTAGGAAGTTAGGAACTTTACCTGATTGAGATCTTTGAATCCATCCATCACCTGACACTATGACATGAAAACTGGTTTCCTGTTTACAAATGGTCCAATAATGCTGCAGGAACAATGATGATTGGCCAATCAGTGCCAGGCGCACAATTAATTTCACCATCAAACATTTTCAAGATTCAAAAGATGATTTAAACAGAAACTGCTGCTTTAGTTTTGGCACTATCCAGACATACCGAAAACAGGAACATGTTTTGATGTTCTTCTGCCCCTAAAACCAAGGAAAAACCCATCAGGTGACGGTGCAGGGTGTGCCAAAATAACTTCAGGTGTGGGTCTACCAACTGGCGAGAGAAATGTTGAGCTAGTTTGTAATTTAGTCCCAAATCTGATTTTTTTGTGTGTCTACTGGAGGAGACCCCAAACCAGATGATGTAGAACAGAAACAACAGTTCCTACTTGTTTATCCAGATAATTGTATTCAGGTGGAAGTTTCAGAACCAGTATCATCAGTGCTGTTTTCTTCCAGGTGGTCCATCCTCACCACCGCTTCAACCGCATGACCAAGCGACAGGCGGTGTTCGTGTCACTGTTTGTCTGGCTGCTGGTCATCACGCCCCGGGTTCCTATGCTGGCTTACAACCACATCAAGGGCAGCGGCAACACAACCCAGTGCTTCTTTTTCACGTCTTACAAAGAGGCGTCGCGAGCCATCATCATCCTGGTGGCCATGCATCGCATCCTCACCGTGCTGGAGTTCATCTTCCCGATGGCCATGCTGCTGTTCTGCTCCATCCGGATCTCCAGCTTCCTGAAGGAACGACGTATGGGCAAACCCGACAAAGTGCGCAAGGCGATGCGAGTGTGCATCGCCATCGTCGCAGTATTCATGGTATGCTTTCTGCCTACCACGGTGACAACCATCGGAGTGTGGATCATCCGCTCGTACCGCCCGTGGGACTGCACCAGCTTCTACAGATTCACCCAGCTCAGCATCGTGTCTCTGGGCTTGAACTTCCTGAACTCGGCCCTGGATCCCATCATCTACATCTTCTCCAGCTCCATGTTCAGGAAGGCCCTGGTGGGTGCGCTGCCCTGTGCACTGCGCTGTGGGCAGGACGCCGAGGACAACAAGACGTCTTCTTCAGGAACTCAGTCGACCACCCAGGAGGAGATGAAATGCATGAGGACTGATAGAGGAAGCGAGGCGAAATAGTAAACTGCTCCGTGCTAATAAAGACTAAACCAAGAAGTGAAACCTTTTCCCTGCTCTGATTTCCTTTATTTTTGTATAATTTTGCATAAAGTTACATCTTTGGCTTGTTTCATGATGAATCTGAAAATCTGTCACATAACCGTGTAAACATATTCAGTCAAGTTTGAAATATTTTTCCTGTTGAACTCTTTAAGTGTAAGTTTTATGCCTTGTCTTTTGTTTTTTATATTTTTTTATTTTGATTAAAAAAAACTTATATTAAAAACAGAAATAAAAAACCATCACTGAGATCTCAAAACCTGCAGTTCCTCTGACATCCAGCAGAGGCTCCAGCAGTGAGCCAGTCCCCATAGAGTACCATGCTAAACTGCAGCAGAAGAAAATATGTTTACAGCCTGATACTGAAACTGTTTTGGTCTCTGTGCATAAGTCAGCTTAAAATGTTTCTATAATTTACCAGTTTAAATTGAATTAAAGGTATATTCAGTAAATTTCTTTTAGGTATTTTAAAAAATACACTATATCGGATATCGGCAGATATCCAAATTTATGATATCGGTATCGGAAATAAAAAAGTGGTATCGTGCCATCTCTAATAACAAATAACTCTTATGCTGTATTAAAAGCCAGTAAATAAAAATGTGTTTTAAGATAAGATTTAAAAAGATTGACAGTGGGAGCCTGTCTGATGTATAGGGGTAAATTATTCCACAGCTTAGGCGCTACGACTGCACATGCTCGATCACCTCTATGAACCAGCCTCGACCTAGGTATGGCTAAAAGCAAAAGATCGCTTGATCTAAGAGATCTAAGAAATGAGGGTACATGAAATAAATGCATTCAAATTATTTGTTTAGTTTTTTCTTAACTTTATTGAAATTAAACAAATTTACATGGAAAATTTGTGGTGCAAATCAAATGTCTGAATATCAATCTATCAACACAGACCATTTATTTTGGAATGATATATGAAAAGTCAGCCACAACAATAAAAACTTCTTCAAATATACAACAATGGAATAAATGTCTTCTAATTCATCATCTGATCAAACGCAACAAGTTAAAAAGAAAACATCAGACAAATTATTTTAACTTCCACTCATTCTAATCTCAGGAAGAAAAAAATGCAAATAAAAATCTGAATCCCATCAAATCATCACCCAAAAAAAAAAAAAAGCTTGACTTAACAAATCATGAACTATTTAAAGGCTTTAATCAGGATTAAACTGCAGGATCAGTGAAAGAATAAATGACAAAAAGAGAAAAGGATCACTTCAATCAATCTGAGGCTCAAACAACGCAACACAAAAGCTGCTTCATGCAGGAAACCATGGAAATCTGCAGGTGAGGCCTTAATCTCCTACGACCTGGCATCCACATATGTGGACATCACATTTTGGGTTGTCTAGACCAGAATACTATATATGGCTCTACAAGGGCCTGATATCCACTTACTAGGACATTATAGTGCCACTGTTCTATCGAAGTTTTAAACAAATGTCCTCTAGTGATGTTCGATTCGTGAACGAATCGTTCAATACTCGAGAATCACTTTACTGACTCGTGAATCATGATTCACAAGCGCAACTGACTCACTGACTCATCCCTGTTGCTGTTAGCAAACTAATTCCATTAGCAGAAATATATCTAGCTTATAATTAAAATTGTGGGGAAAAACAACAACAGCCAGTTTCTTAACAAAAACATTCCTGCTCTGAACTGGAAGAAAAAACCCTGAGTAGAAGCTCACATCAAGACAATAGCTCCTCGGTTTGTGACAAAGTGGAGGAGCAGTTGCAATGCTCTCCATTTGTCCCATATGTGTTGACCTTTTTTTGCACATTGTACACATTATTCTGTTTCTATTTATTTGCTATGATTTGCTATTTGTCAAGTAACATTGCTTCACTCACTAGCCCGGGTTTGTTTGTGTAAGCGTTCTGTTGCTGGCAAATCAAACATTCTGCAAATTAAGACAAATACTAAGTTATGTTTCTTTATATTTTATCATGTTTCAGATTAAGTCATTTATTCATACTTACTTTGTCTTTTCAGTCCTCATAAGGGTCAGGTGTGGGGAAACGCCCGCCGGCATTTCCTCATTTTAAAGTCCTGATGA